GCTGAAAATTCCGAGCTTAAAATCAAAGTAGCAAAATTAAGTTGTGATTTCGAGGAAATAAAATCAAAGGGAACAATCACTGATTCTCTGGAGCAATTGTCAATTTCTGAGAAAAAGATAGTAAGCGTTTCTACCGAAATGGAAAATTCTAGCGTTACCCCCGAACAAATAGACTTACAAACTGAAGATGTTTTGGCATCAGACATATCCGATGACACTTCAAATTCTGATGATATTTCCACAAAAGAAATTTTGCCACTTAATGAGAGTCAACCCGATAAGGAGGAAGCTGTTACTCCCGACCCTATATCCAGAATAGAACATAAAGAACATGTTAGTAAAGAGATAATAGAGAAAATTAGGGAAAAGAAACTTCGAGATCAAAGTTCATCTTTGGATAGTACTTCATCAGAACCATCCTACGAAAATCAAAATCTGGAATCATCTATAATATCACAATCTATCTCTAATAGTTCTGAGTCCAAATTGCCTAATCAGAGGCACAAAGTACTTTACTCTGCAAAAATTCCTTATAATCAAAAAGTGGAACGAGGTTTAAGACTCGAGCTATCTATTTGCACCAAAGATAATAACCACAATATTAGTAAAGTATTGGATATACAGATTCCTGAATTCTCTTTAGAAATGATTTTAGTGGCGTTACGTCACAAAATATAGTGATCTATTTAGGGTAGCAATGAAGATTCGACAAAAGGAAAGTTTGTGCTGGTATTATTATTATAAAGCATACGAGAATCGAGTCAGTAATGTTAAGACTGCAAATAATAGCGGAGCTAGTACTAAAGCACATATTGATGACCAATCGGCAAGAACGATAGTGTATAATGAAATAAAATCGCTCCTCCCTGATATCACCGATGTAAACTTGCGTAAAATAACTTCCAGAGCAAAAAAGGTATATATATTATATGAAGGAATAGGAATTGATAAAATTAGTCAAAAAACTTACAGCGCAAGTGCTATTTCAAGTTTAAAGGATATTCAAATTCAAAATATTATAAATGATTTTCCCAAGACAACAGATATGAGTTGCCAGGCACAGAGTGCTATTTCTTCCGAAATAAAAGTGATCGGCGTGACAAATTGTCACGCGCATATGTCAGATCTATCTAGCTCAAACGATTCATCAGTCCCACTGACAGCCAGAAATCGAGGTAAGTGCACCTACTGAAACTGAGATAAGTGTAGTAAGTGATATAAGAGTCAATGTAAATATATCTAACAAATCCCGACCTCAAATTACTGAGCTACCTGAAGACCCGAAAGAGAAACAAAAACATGTTATTAAATTAATAGTGGAGCAGTTTCGAAATTTATCTTTAAAGTATAGTCTAAAAATACCGATTACTTTGTCAGTTTAGAACCCTGCCCTTTATGCAATAATAATCATAAAAAAGAAAATATAAAAAAATTTATAGAGGGTGAATGAGGTAGTGGAGATTATGTCAATACAAGCACTTGTCGCCTCAGATGCTGGGGAAATAAATATCAGAATTCAGTCCAAATAGTAACTGTAAAGGCATAACATACAAAAACTCTTTCCAGCAGATTCTAAAATTCTTAAAAATTTCCTTTTTAAGCAATTTTTTCTAAGAAACAAAAAAGCGCACGGAAGAGATGAGTTCTCATAGAACCCTTCACAGTTCCAAAACTAATACAAGACCCAACTACAATGAGAACCTTCTGGCAAGAGGTAACGCAAGAAATCTTCGAAAAGAAACCAATACAAACAACGAAAGGACAACAACCCTAAACAAGGGTAAAGAACTTGAAAAACCAACAGAAACCTTCCAAAATCTCTCCACAAATGAACAAGTAATCCAACAATCCATAGCTAATCATCAGAACCTCCAAAACCACAACGAACAGGATGCAAGCAGCTCAACATCGCAAATATGGAATGATCAAGTAGAAGAAACAATCACCACTGAAAGAAGAGCACATCCCAAGAAAGCACGCAGAGAGGAAACATTAGATACCCAACAACACATCCACACACTACAAGGGTCGATGACTCTGATATAGAAATGTATGATGAAGGAGAGGGAGGACCAAAACAAGACCTAAACAAGAAAGATACTGAAGAAACATGGCAAGTCCAGAGTAACCAAAGAAGAGGCCACCCAAGACCAATATCACCTTTCGATAGAGCAATAAGATATGGCAAGGAAAGATTTAAAGTAGGAATCATAGCAAGTGACATCCCAGGCACTACCACCGACCAAAAGATCACATACTTAACTAAAGCTTTAGGTAACCCAGAAAGTCTCTTCAATATCCACAAAGAAAAAAAAGAGGGCATCGACCACATCACTGCCTTATTTGGGGAGGAACAGGCTGCAGAGGAGGCATGCAACCTAATCTTACCAAACACATATCAGAAAAGATTGACACACATGACAATCACACTAACTGAGTCAAAAAAGGAAAACAGTATCAGGGTATGGAACATCCCCCTGACCACAAAATTCATAGAAGTACAACAAACCTTTGCTAGATATAGACAAATTACCAACATATCAATGTACACAAGTCAAATGTGGCAAATGGTAACTATAACCTTTCAGGATAAGGAAGTTAAGGAACAACTAATCCAACAATACAGTATACTAATCAAAGGAGATATAACAAGAATAATGGACTCACAATGGAACAGGCAACAAATAATGGAAAGATTTCAATATGCTGCAAAGCTCACTGATCTTCCACCAAATACCAATGCTTTCGATCTAAAGAATATATATCAACAACTTCAAGCAAAGTCATACTACATCCCCCACAAAATAAAATATACCAGAAAACAATTAGCGGTTATATCTTTCGAATCTGAAAACAAACTCAAAGAAAGTTTATGACAATAATTTATTATGGAAGAAATCACTATCACAGTAAAGCAAATAGAAACTAAACTCTGCTCCATCTGCAATCAAAGCAACCATCTCCTGATACAATGTCCCATTAAAGAAAAAAGAGAGCAGTGGTCATCATATAACAAAGATCAGGTATCAAGATTTGGCAAACTTTATTAAAAGTTCAAAACCGCTGGTACCCAATGTATCAGAAACATAGCAAGCAGAGAAACACGTATACAGAGACCAAGACCAGGTTCATATGCAGCAGCAGCAGCTTCTAATCCTAGAATCAAAACTAAGCAACAAAATGATCAGGAGCGAGATTCATTAAACAAAATCCTTAACATGTTACAATAGATGCAAGAAGACATCAAAGAAATCAAATCATCAATCAAAGACCTGGATGAGTGAATCACATTCCTCGAATCATATGAGGATTACAATAATAACACAATGGAAGATAATATACAACAAGCAACAAAGTTGGACAACTCCAATACAACAAGCTCAGCCTCTTCCACCAGCACAACACCTGATATTCAATAAAGACAACAAGAACTTCGTAATCAATCAACAAAATGGACTAAAACATGAGCAACATTCTATCTACAATTAACACTCTGGTTCTGAACAACAAACACCTCTCAACATATAAACAATAATAAGTAGTTTAAATAGTACCAGCAATTTCAAAGAAGACATTTCAATAGATCAAACCAGAAACCAAAACATACCTACAAATTCTGAACTAACAACACCATCTAAAAACACAATAATAATTGATAACTACATTCATCTTACAACCAACAACAATCCAACAGCATACCCAAAGGATAGGAATCTCAATCAAATAACAGAACAACCAGATATGTCACCAATATAAATGGAAGACAACTCACAACACCACACTAAACAATACATCCAAAATCTATGGAAAATCATAACATAAAATATCAGAGGAATTACAGAGAATTTCAAAAAACAAATGTGGTTTGACCTTGTCAATAGCCAAGGTTGGGACATAGTAGTTACAACAAAAGTCAACGGAACTAACCAAGTATCAAAACATTGGAAATGCCCAATTATCATACAATCTGAACTCATTACGAATTCCAAGCATTGGAACAAGGTCTCAATATAATGTTCCACAATAAAAACGCAAAAAGAATCTTCAAATACAAGAAATTTGATAAAAGCTGATAGCAGTAGACTTGGCTTTCCCAAACAAACAAAAAATACGAGTCATAGGAGTATACTTCCTTGCAGCAGCACAACCAAAGAACGTACACTAGTAACAAGAACCCTACAACAATGGATAAATGAGGCTAGCAATAAGGACTGGCACATTATAGTCCTGGGAGACATGAACGGAACCCCTAATCCAATGTTGGATAAACACAACAATCACAAAATCCTACGTACTAGCAAACCAACTGAACCACACATAGAACTGTTAATCATCAAAGACTTTGAAGACAGCTTCCGCATACACAACCCCACAAAAAAAGAATTCACATGGAAGTGGCAAGATAATAGAAACAGAATTGATCAAATTTGGCTCAGCCCTTCAGACAAATGGTAATTAAGAAACAACTATATATGAGACATGCTTCAACTCTTAATTAAAAGTGATTACCAAAGCATGACCATAGAACTAGAAATGTGGAACTTTGATTCAAGCCTGGAGAAAAAATCTTCGATGCACAAGCATAACCATAGATTCAATTGGAAACATACTAAAGTCAAACAATGGACAGTCTTTACAAATATGATGGAAGAACTAACTCCAAAAACTGCCCAACCAAATGCATCAATAGACAAAAGGTAGAATATCTTTAGAAATAACATGCTAAAAGCTGACAAAAAGAACATCAGTAAAATCAAAAACCATTGTAGAAAAAGGATCCATCCAGAACAAATAAGACCTCCTCCACCTATTATCTCCTTACAAAATTTCCTTAATGGCCTAAAAAACTAACCAACAAGTGCAAAAATGATCAATCCAGCTGAAGCAACTCTGATACCTAAAGAAAGAAAGGTTAGATTCCCTGACATACATAACACTCTCACTATAACAAAAACAGAAAACCAGAAACATACATTCAAGAATGGATCCTAATATTGCAAAGAAATATACAAGCACACAAACTTATGGCCAAATATATCACAAACTTCAGACAAATCAAGACCATTAAACAAAGAATAATTAAACGATAAGTCTTTCTGGAAACTAACAAAAAAGTCATAATCAATAGTATTATGGAAAAACCACAAAAAACTATTCAGCTGAATAAAATCATTCTGCAAGGAGAGAAGACCGAAATCATCACAGATCCAATAGCAATCAAAGAACATGTGAGACTCCACTTTTAGAAATGGACATCCTTAAGAAACATATAACCACCAGATAATCATCCACTATGGAAAAGAAAGTACAAACCCAAAAGGCATATTCAGTTATACTGGTATGAAGCCACAACCAAAGAAATATCGAAAAATGAACTCGACAATGCAATCAAAGGGAGAAGCAATAAATCGGCACTGGGGCTTAATTAAATACCTTATATTTCCTACAAATATCTGGGGGAAAAAGCCAAAGAAGAGGTCCGGGGGATATCCAACCAAATAATCCAACACTGTGACACCCCAATAAAGTGGAGTAAAGGAATTATCTATCCAATTCCAAAACCAAAGGAATGGGAAAACAACTTAGATATTACGAAACCAATCACTATACTCGATGCAGGAAGAAAAATTTTCACAAAAATCCTAACTGATAGACTAGCCAGTTGCATAAAAAAAAAGGAAATCCTATTAGAACATAACTGGGCCACACTTCCAGGAAACAGTACACAAGACCCAATACACATAATCAGTGGCATAATAGAATATGCCAAAGAAAATAAACAACAGACATGGATTCTCAGCCAGGACATGTCCAAGGCATACGACTTAGTTAATATCAAGATGCTAACTTTAGCTCTCAAAAGAATAAAGATTCCAGATCAAATAATCTGAATCCTAATCAACATATTACACAACAGACAAAACTCGGTAATCACATGCTATAGCCCAACAGAGGAATACAAAGTACAAGATGGCATTGATCAAGGAGACACAATCTCACCACTCTTGTGGCAAATCTTCTATGACTTTCTCTTGACCATTATTACGAAGATGCATAAGGGATACATAATAACTCAAAACACTGTGAAGATATAAGATGGGGATGGAAATGCAAAACCACTGATGTGGCCACCTGTGCTTACATGGATGACACAACATGGATTACCAACAACTAG